CGTTTTATATTGATCTGCTTTATATCTAGTTTAAGACTGCATTTTTCAGGAAGACAAATTTTAACATTTATTGAGATAACAGTACTTATAAGACCAAACAGAGCCTCACTACCAAATCTAAATGATAGGCAACTATCATTGAATTTTGAATTTGTTGATGATTATTCAAATAACTGAATATGTTTTAGTTCATTTTCACTGTGATTCTTGCGTGGATCCGAAGCAGGAGGTCTGCTGATTCGAGCCATATTTTCAGAAAAAACTTCGACTTTTCTTCATCGTTTTCCAACCTACTCTTTCAAAGATCGATGTGATACACTATCTGCAACACAAGCAAATAAAAAGTAACGAGTATTGGGTAATCCTACCTACCCAACCAACCAGGTGTTCGACGAGGACTCGGAAGTCCCGAACATCTGTGTTCGACGGCTAGTGGAAATAAAAGGTTTTTTGCAAAAGGGATTGTAGCGGATCGATTTATAATGCGTTTTCCTCCTTTTTAAGGATACTAGCATAAGTATTTGCAAGTGCTTGAATTACTTGATAATATTTGCATATACTTCAAATACCTATCAAGCATAAACTGGGCAAGCGTAAGTACTTGTAGTTGATGTCAATATAACAATTGAAATTACTTGAAAAGTGCTAGCACTTTCTTCTTCAATCCAGTTTTTATTTTCTAGAACCCATTGCTTTAATAAACCATCTCTGTCCTGTTGTGGATCGTTTTTCAATCTAATCAATCCTTCTTTCACTTGTTTTACATCCAACACTCTATATAAGTGGCTAATTATAGTGAAACCAATCATCACATCCGGATGACTAAATTCAGAATTCTCCGTGACATGACTATTCCGCGAACCAATCCTTCCGCGAACCTAATCTTTCGCGAACATGATCCGGACTCTTCCGCGAATTTTTCTTAACACAAATTCAGATACTTCTGACAACATGCGGGAAGGGGAGAGCGATGTGAGAGTGAGTTCGAAAAGTAGTTTCACATAAGAGATATTTGCATCACATACTGTATTAGTGTTTCATTTATCTGGTATGTCAATATTGTTATTCGTCCTCTTTTCAATAACATCCGTTTTGTAGAATCGAGCTCTTTGAAGTATTTTTCCGATGAAGAACTCGAATAGTAATCTTAGCGACTAGAAAGCAAGCTAGTGGTGAACATAATTCCTTATTTCATATTACGGCATTAGTTCATAGTTTGTTTTTTCAGAGGATAGAGTATGAGATACTTCAAATAAATGATTAATGTATTCGACTCGTTTGAAGTTTGTTTACCAGAGATTAGATAAGGACATTAAACAACGATACGCGCTAAGATAGCAGACTACTTTGAAACATTCTATGTGACAGGCATATAAACCCATAAATTATAAATATATAGAAAAAACTGGCTTAGAAATATATCTTTTGTATTTCTCTTTAAATTAGATGTCTATACTCAACTCCTCTTAAATGAGCGCGGTAAAATATATGCTTGATTTGATAGTAACATCGCGTTTTATATTGATCTGCTTTATATCTAGTTTAAGACTGCATTTTTCAGGAAGACCTGTAATTTTAATGAAAGCTCTTCTTTTGTATGCTGTAAATAGAAATCGTTGACTAATCGAAAACAATCTTCTATACAAAAGATATTCACGATCATTCGATTTCGAAATGGATGATAGTGTATATTCAAGTTTTCTTACGAAGTAGTGGCAGGAGGAACGAGGACTGAATACATGACATAGCTGCTTATCTAAACTAACCTACTTTTCATGAATATTACCTGTATATAGTCGAGGACAGAAAATTTCTTTTTAGACACTTTTGTCAATTCATCAACATATAGCAGTGATGGTAAGCAATCAACTTAATGGTTGAATGTCATCGTTACATTAGCAGCAATAACAACACTCAAGTTCTATGTAAGTACAAAGTATCTTGCTCAACAGAAATCTAAACTTTACTATACAGAAAATTGAATGATCTCAACAGTAAAGCGTACAAATTAAGGCAACTGCATATCGAAATTTCCTTGTTTTCGCTCATATGTAGTGCGAAGAATCTGTTCACTTTACTGTAGATACTATAGACAAAAATCAGCAGGGCATGTTCATATGATCCATGATGCCATTAACTTAAATAGTACACTTTCTTCTCAATAAAAACATCACATCACATTGTGGACTACGTAGCATTCAAGTAGACCAGATCATTTACGACAAGGCTGAAATGGGTTTTATTGCGAGATACGGTAGATCAAGGATGCTTGTGAGTCGCAATGAACGGAAATGAAAGTAGTCGAAACCAGAGACTGGACTAGTATAAAAGAAAGTATTTTGGAATACTTTACTCTGATAAAACGTAGTTCTACTTGGGTACTCGATTGCATTAAAAATGACAGAAACATTAAAGAAAAAGTTCCAGACCTCCCTTTTCGGATGGGATAGACGCTGAGGCATATTATATTTGACTTTATTTGAAATTAGAACTTGCTCTGCTTCTGAATAAAACTATGTGTCTTGTATTTGAATGTAATATCCAAGTAAGGGCAAAAAATCTGACTGATTCAAACAATCTTTGCTTGTCTTTTTATTAAACGGAAAATTAGAATCAACAGATTTTCTCTTTCTAGGACTTTCTGACATGTCTGAAATTCATATTGAAGAAAAAGTATCGTCTGCCGAAGAAATACAGTTAGTTATACAAATAAAAGAAGCACTAAAAGAAGATGTTTTAAAAAATATTCCGAACTTTTACTGTCCTCTTACTCACGATCTTCTTCAAGATCCAGTTGTAACTGAAGATGGTATTACGTATGAAAAACAAGCAATTAAAGATTGGTTTAATAAATGTACAACGGAAAATAAACCACTTACAAGTCCTATGACGAATCAAATATTATTTTTCTGGTAAGTTAGTTCCAAATATTGGTTTGAAAAACTCAATTCAGTCATACAAGGCAGAAAAAACAAGAGATTTTGAAAGAAGATATCGATTAATTAAATATGTTTTAAACAGTAAAAACTTGCTTGAGGGTGATTCTTTCGAGAGTGTACCACATTTACATCGACTTTATCCGGATTGTTCGAGAGTAACAGGACT